TAATGTGTTTTCTCTCACTGTTGTCCACATTTAGATTTTAGTGATGTTTAAATTTCTGAGGAATGAATGAAAATAAACCAAAGTATTTTAGGGATGTTTTGACATGTTAGTGGAAGAAGCCTTTAAATGTAGGTTATATCTTGTTTAAAATCAGTTATGAGCATTTAATTAAAAAATAACATTAAACAAAAAAATCAGTTTTTGAAAGTGTGAGTTGTACTTATTTTTTTTAAAAGCATTAAAGTTTATTTTTGCACAATGCAATGAAGACACTTAACAAATTTGATAAGTTCAAAAGTGTACAACATTATAAACACTGTAACAGTGCTTTTAAATAGCTAGACATGTAGGAAACACTATTTGAAGGGAGCACCTATATTTCATGGATAGATTGATGTGCTAGGACAAAATGGAATTAAATAGAAAAGGTCTATAACTCTGCAGCACCTAAGTTTGGCCAACACTCAAAGGGATTATATATTTAGAGATCATTTGTTTTGTTAGGATTATTTTTGAAAATGTGTGTCAAATAATTCTGAATAGAATAAAAATATGGATCTGGCCCTAACCGGTTTGGCTCAGTGGACAGAGCGTCGGCCTGCGGACTCAAGGGTCCCAGGTTCAATTCCGGTCAAGGGCGTGCACCTTGGTTGCAGGCACATCCCCAGTTAGGGGGTGTGAGGAAGGCAGCTGGTCGATGTTTCTCTCTCATCGATGTTTCTGACTCTCTATCCCTCTCCCATCCTCTCTGTAAAAAAATCAATAAAATATATATAAAAAAATATGGATCCGATGTAAATATTTGATCTATGTATTTTATACAACAAATAGAATTGAGGATACTTTCCATTTAGCAGATTTTCCCAAGAAACAAACAGAAACCTCAATATGTGTACAGTGGCACTTTTTTCAATTAATAATGGCATAATTAGAAAAAAAGTTGAAAGCAATAAATTTAAACCTATCAATAATAAATGCAACTTTGAACAAGGTATAGATGATTTTATGAAAAATTAAGATAATAAAACCATATGAAAAAATACTCAATCTTCAGAAAAAAATAGTAATAGAGATAAATATGACTAAACATAGTTTCTGCTGAAATTACTTTGTAATGTTCAGATAATCAAAATAATATACGTTCAAAATTTTCCCTTTGATTTATAGATATCAAGTTGCAATCATTTTCTTTGAAAATAATTTTATTTAAAATAATTTTGTATAAACTATTTTCTATGTCTGCTTATTTAAGGAAATGAAATTGCCAATCAATAAATAACTGTTTCAAATATTATGTAATTATAACTGAGACAGGTCAGTAAGCCAAGACAAGTGGAATAGGGAAATTGGGATAGATAGCTGAACAAACTGGAAGAACAATTTACAGCAGGTACAGAATGTCACCAGGCGGAAAGCCCCAGGTACCTAACAAGGGGCAAAGCTAGGGAAACAAGGGCCTCGCCCCCAGGGTGACCTTCCCACCCCTAGCATATTGCTGCTCATGTGCTTTAAACCCCCTAACATTTCCTCCCTAGAGATAACATCTAGGCCTCAATTGTATTTCAGTCCCAGTCCCAGACAAGCAATGCCATTGCTGACCTCAGAACCAGCTGCCTTGACTAAGGACCACCTGCCCTCAAGCCCACCAATCAGGGGAGACCACGATCCTAAAAGAGCACACCGGCAAAGCCTATGAATAATCTACTGAGACCTTCCAGGAGACCTCCCCTAAGATTCCGGCCTGGAAGAGAGAAATAAATAGCCTCAACACAAAAGATGCAGTATGTGCCCTCTCTCGGGAGCACACCTACACCATTCCCTTTCCCTGTTATTCTAAGGAACCTCAGGAGGCTTGTCTCAGTGGAGTGGAGGGCAGTGACAGCGTGTCCTACGCTAAACCCCTGCACCTGTCTCCAAGGTCCCCCTTTTTCTCTGACTTCTCAGGGAGCTAAAGCAGCCCAGCCTAGGCTCTCCTGTTGCTCCTTCCATGCTAAGCTCTTCCTTGGTTCACTGTCCTGTGTGTGCTTTTACTGCAGCCAATAATTCATTGCTTGCTTTGCTGGATTTTGTTTTGACTGAAATCATTCCTTCAAAGAGATAAGAACCAAGGTCTCATCGTCTCAGCAATGATATAACTGCTTTTAGCTACCTCTTTTGCTCAAAAATGCTATTATTTGAAGGCAATTACATGGTTTCCATATGTATGTAGCATATGGTAAGAGACCGTAAAACATTTTTCATCTCATAACATCCCTCAAGGAAACAAAGGAATTGAAGGAAAAAAGACTGGAAAAGATTTATTTGAAGGTAATTGGAATTCCTTTTTTTTTAAGGTTTCATCTTTTTTTTAATTCTGTATCAATTGACATTCAACATCATTTTATAGTAGTGTTAGGTGTACAGCATACTAGTTAGAAAATTATATAATTTACAAAATAATTTCCCCAATAATTCTAGTACTCACTTGGCTCCATACATAGTTACGATTATAGTATTTACTATATTGCCTGTACTGTTCTTTACATCCCCATGATTATTCTGTTACTGCCAAATTGTACTTCTAAAATCCCTTAAATTTTTTTTAATCAGCTCCCTAGCCCCCTCTGATCTGGCAACCCTCAGTTTTTTCACTGTATTCATGAGTCTATTTCAACTTTGTTTGCTTATTTTGTTTTAGATCCCACATATAAGAAAGTTTGGATTCTCAAAAGCTACACACAAAATTCTAAAATCTATTGCTTTCTTGCCTTTGCTGTTATATCACGTTTGTCAAATCCCACTTACATAAACTATCATGCTCTTACTATATCATATAGCATAACCTTGCATACAATATTTTTCAATGTAGTTAATCATCTCATAATGCCCTTTACAGAAGAACGTGCCTAGAATATTTCAGGGCAAGTGGACAAATGTTACTACAAAACAGTTATACACAATTTGACAAAATACCCCCAATTCTATTTTAATTCTGATTTTAATTTTAAGCAGTTTTTGCCATGATCAATGATGCCTTTCAAATTCCTTGTAAACTCTGACATCCCTGCCTCAGAAGTCTCCTTCCTTATTTCACCTCCAAACAACTTTCAACACAATCCTATCTAATAAAAGAGAAACATGGTAATTAGCGTACAACCGTTACACTTCCCATTGGCTAATCAGGGCGATATGCAAATAAAGTGCCAGCCAAGATGGTGGCCAGCAGCCAGGCAGCTGGAAGCTAACATGAGGCTTGATTGCTTCAGTGACAGAGGAATCCAACGTTCCCCGCCTGCCTTGACGGCCTCTGAGCTTGCAGTTTGAAACATTGTAACAAATATAGAAGCTAAACAAAACCCCAGAAACCTGCTTTCAGCTAGCCGGGATCTCAGAGCTGGAGTTGATACAGTGTCTCGATTATAGAACCCAAACAAACCAGATACCTGCTGCAGCAGCAGAGGCCTCAGAGCTGGAGTCAGAGCTAAAGCTGGCAAAGAAAAAGAAAAAAAAGGAGCAGTTGGGAGCTTCAGTCACCCGCCAGCCTGAAAACAGCCCTCAGCCCCTCACCCAGACTGGCCAGGCACCCCAGTGGGGACCCCCACCCTGAAGGGTGTGTGACCAGCTGCAAACAGCGATCATCCACTCATCCAGGCTGGCCAGGCACCCCAGTGGGGACCTCCACCCTGAAGGGTATGTGACCAGCTGAAAACAGCCATCATCCCCTCATCCAGGCTGGCCAAGCACCCCACTGGGGAACCCCACCCTGATCCAGGACACCCTTCAGGACAAACCAACCAGCCCCCACCCGTGCACCAGGCCTCTATCCTATATAGTAAAAGGGTAATATGCCTCCCAGCACCGGGATCAGTGGAGCTGAGAGGCCTCCCGGGACCGGGATCAGCGTGACAGGGGGCAGCGCCCAAACCCCCTGATCGCCCTGCAGCTCTGTGTGTGACAGGGGGCGGGGCCACAACCTCCCTATCTGCCCTGCTCTGTTCATTACAGGGGAAGGCGCCCCAACACCCTGATCAGCCCTGCTCTGTGTATGACAGGGTGCGGCGCCTCCCCCCCCCCCCCCCCGCCCCACGGGCCCTGCTCTGTGTGTGACAGGGTAGAGCCATAACCTCTCCATCGGCCCTGCCCTGAGTGTGACAGTGGCGGCGACCCAACACCCTGATCGACCCTGCTCTGTGGGTGATAGAGGACGGTGCCCCAACCCCCTGATCCGCCCTACTCTGTGAGTGACAGGGGGGAGCTCCTCAACCCCCGATGGGCCCTGCTCTGTGCGTGACGGGGGCAGCACCCCAACCCCCTGATTGGCCCTGCTCCGTATGTGACGGGGGCAGCACCCCAACCCCGATTGGCCCTGCTCTGTGCGTGACAGGGGGTGGCGCCGCAACCTCCCCATTGATCCTGCCTTGAGTGTGACAGGGGGCGGTGCCCCAACCCCCCAATCGGCCCTACCCTGAGCGTGACTGATGGTGGCATCCCAACCTCCCAATCCACCCTGCTCTGTGCATGACAGGGGGGGGCGCCCCAACTCCCCAATCAGCCTGCTCTGAGCCCGACCAGGGGCTGCACCTAGGGATTGGGCCTGCTCTCTGCCACCCGGTTGCAGGCCTAAGCCAGCAGGTCGTTATCTCCCGAGGGGTCCCAGACTGCGAGAGGGCACAGGCCGGGCTGAGGGACTCCTCCATCCCCCTGCCCCGAGTGCACAAATTTTTGTGCACCGGGCCTCTAGTGAAATATAATTAAATTTAAATGTGTCCCAAAATATTCCCACATATAAAAACAAAATTAACAGTAGAATGTTTGTAGGTCAGGTCCTGTCGATCTCAGAGAGTATAATGAGCTAAACTGTTATACTCCCTCCATTTGTTGAAATCCTAATTCCAAGACTGCATAATTTGACAATAGTTGAAGGTAGAATTTTTGTATTTTTGTAAGTAGCAGTTTATGAATTCACTTTATTTTCATATTTTAATAGAATTATGTTATTTATAAAGTCATCATACCTCAAAATGGTGGGGGACGGATACATTCATATCCTTGCTCATTCCATTTTTCTCTTTTATTAATGCAACTGCCATTATTTTTACAGGGTTTATAAGAACATGCATCAACTTCCTGGCAGTATTTTCCAGAAAATGGAGTCTCACAATGACAGTTGTATGTCTTGCTCCAAATTTCAGTAAGACATTTACCATGCCCAGAGCAATATTCTGAATTCAGATATTTCTGGCAGAACCGCTCTTTCACTGTCACATTTAGTCGAACTCCCAGTTGACAAAGCGATGGACCACTTGCCATTACTGTAATAAAATAATGTGTCCCAACAGTCAGCCACTGAGAGTTAACAGTGTGCATTCCTTTTAGTTTGCAACCGAAAAGTAACTGCTCTTCAGCTGTGGTGTTCTGCAGACAGTCAATGAAGGATGCTTCAGAAACATTTACCAAATTTAGTTCTGGAGAGTGAAGAGATGGTGCAGAAGAAATTACAAGGTTGCCTCCTCATTGAATTTGCAAAGGGCAAATCTGGGGGACAGCTAGATTGCCTGAAGTACTCATTTTAGTATTTATGTCCTCAAACCAGTGTTGGGGGCCAGATGTAAGCTGGCAAGGTCCTTGCACCTGCAGGGGCTAGCAAGGCTGGGACCCTTACCCACACAGTTTTCCCAGACTTGTTTGGATGGCGGTTATCAGTAGAATGAGAGCAACATTTGTAGAATGAGAACAGCCTTTCATAGCTTACCAAGAAGTCTGTAACTATTTACTGAGATATGCTGTACTGAGAACTTGTCCTTCTGCTATGTCTCTCCCTTAGAGATTAAGAGGAACAAAGAATACATTCCTCTTGACAGACCTCCTATTCAGTGTGTTGTGTATAAATAAGATTGCATGACTAATAAACTCGCTTCAGTTCATCAAGAGAACTGGGGTCCTCCCGACCCCGCTTTCCTGTCTTTCTTTCTTTTCTCAATTCCCACCTCCCTGCCTCAGCCCGGCTCAACCCTGTCAGGCTGGCCCTGGCAAACCAGCAATCTCCATAGGCGTCCATGCAAATGTTTTCTGTTAGTGCCCAGTTCACCACATATGATGAGGGTTGCGCATGCCATTCTTCCACCAATTGCCATTTACATGTTGTTTTTCCATTTATAAACATGCAGTGAAGAGCCAGCAGGCTCAGAAGCATAATTGATTTGTTAGTCATTTCAGGAAATTGTACTTTACAGTCAATCATGAAAATGTCATAAATGATTGCTCGACATGGGCTTTCAATGTTGCTGCACATTTCTAAGCAGGGATGTTGTTCAGGGATTCCTGGGAACTGGCTCTGGTTTTCTTTACCATTCCCAAAGTGCAAGTGAACTCAAGAACTGGATATTGATTAAGAAACAGGAGGTTCTGCTGTTTTAAATAACCCTTCAAACAGAAAAGCATACATTGCTACTGAGTATTTTCCTAAATTACTTAATGATGCAAAAATTTCTTGCTGTTTTCAGAAAAACTGTGTCACTAGCAGATAGGCATCTTCTCTGTGAAACAGGCCAGGAAAAATTGTGGTTGTTATGTTGTATCTCATCCTTCCCTATATAATCACCTGATTCTGAAAAGGTTTGGTATCACTGTGTAATTTAACCAGCAACTTACTATAGTCTTTTATATCAAGCTTGAACATAACTGGAGCACAGCGATAGTCAACATCTTTAATGGATAGATGTGATTTTCTTCAGATATAAGTATCCCTCTCGGATTAGTTTTAGGGAAAAAAAAAAAAACACTTTAAAAGACATAAAATAAGAATTAAATGATTTAAATATAACATATAATATTCATGTAATATTTTTATACAAATATAAGCCCTAAGATACCTGTTGGTGACAAATCATATTCTTCTAATGGTAATCCAGAAGGTGGAAGCTCTCACATACATAACAAGTGCATGGAATATTCTGTTGTACAAATGAGTAAACTTAGAATGAGTTTTTATATTTTTTCTTTATTAAGGTATTACATATATGTCCTTATCCCCTCATTGCCCCCCCCCCATCAAGCCCCCCACTCATGCCCTCACCCTACTGGTGTCTGTGTCCATTGGTTAGGCTTATATGCATGCATACAAGTCCTTTGGTTGGTCTCTCCCCCTTATCCCCACCCTTCTGCGGGAATGGTGGGAGCATGGCAGAAAGTGTAAAATGGTGTGATGGAAGGACAATAAATAGAGGCAGTGTGGCAGTAATGTTCTCTTTCATCACTCACCACAGGTGTGAAAGGAGGGGTCAGGGGATCAGTTCTGTGAGAAGACATCACTACTCCCAGGAAGAAGGCAATCAGATTTAATATACTGACCCAATTAAAATACAGTAACTACCACATACTGAGGTTTTTCACAGTGCAAATCACTACTCTATTTGATTAGCAAATAAACTATAAACCGTACAACAAAACTCAAATTCAGAGAAGAAAGCAAATGGTATGACAGAAACATATGCTCTTTGGATCTCAGTTATGTTATTTATTCATTCTATGTTTATAGCTTTAATTTGCTCCGCTCTTCCACAGGTAAGAATATATTAATATATTAATTTAAAGAAATTAATATAGAAGTATTGAATTGACAAGGCAGTAGTGAAGATTGAATTAGACTATTTAAATGTATATGTTATTCAATAAATGGTAGCTTTTATTATCCAATTTCACTAAGCAATTAAAATCCAAGTTTATCATACTTAAAATCACAGCATTTCTAATATACCTTGACTATCAATTAAATATTGTTAAAATAAAATATTTTATGCCATTATAATATGTAATTAATTTATTAATATAAAATATTTATGGAAAGTCTAATATCTTAATGGCTATTTTAGATCATATAGAAATTAAATTTATTATAAATTACCTCTTTGCAAATTTGGTCATAGATGTTATAAATCTATAAGATATTAATTCACATAAGTAATATATTACCTTAGTATACACACAGAAAAAGTTAAATTATAAGTTTCTTAGAACCAAAAGTTTTACGTGATCATGTTCATTTGAAATATATTAATCATAAATTCTTGATTTAAATTAATAACCTTGATAAGATATAAAGAATACTTTAAACAAATCTATTTTATTTTAATCGATGTGCATGGCAACATGCTAGGTACTAGGAATTCATCAATGACTGAGTGGAAGTAGGTATCAGTATAAAGAACTGAAAACTCAATGAAGGAGACAGATTATTAGGCAAGTAACATCACCAATTTATTATAAAAAAAGAGAGTCTAGAGAACTATAAAAACATATAGCAGAGCCATTTAACAGGGAATAAGGATGAGCTTGGACAATGAAATGGATTCATCTGGGAAAGTTTCCAAGGAGGGGAATTCCAGAAGAAAATGTCTAGCTAAAGACTTTGAGATGAGTGTGACAACGGACTTTTTTGAAGAAGTAAGATAAGTTGTGCAGAGACAAAAAAAAAAAAATATGATAAAATATAAGCTCTTGATTTACACAGATAGTATATCCAGAGGGGCAGGCATTGTTAGTAAAGGAGCTCGCATTTTATTTGAGGACATTGGAGAACTTATTGAAGATTTATGTAGGAGATTAACAAGAGCAAGTTTTATTTTAATGGCGTCAGTTTATTTGAAGTGTGAGGAACGCACATACTAGTGGGTACAGCTGAGAGAGTGGAGAAGTAGAGAAGGCAGTAGCACTAATCTAGTGAAACAGTAGTGATGGCCTGGTCAAAAAGGTGCCAGTAGAAATATAATAACATTGATAGAGTTGAGAAATACTTAAACAGTAGAATTGCAAGGTCTTAAAGGCTGTTGACCTAAGTAGAGAGGAAGAAACTCAGGAGGAGTAGGTGCTTAATCAAGATGGTAAGGGAAAGGGGATGTCAGAATCACATATGTACATATTGAATTTGAAGTCCATCTGAACACTTTTGTTGTAGAAGTATTCAGACATCAATGGTATGTAAAGATATGAGCATAGAGGAGATGCTGGGCTGGAAATCTAAACATGATCATACTAATCATATATTTTTATATTTCAATACATATTTACAATTTTGGAAGATTGTTTTAAAATGTGAAAGACTTGATCTTATTTAAACATGAGGAAAGAACAAACATGGAAGACAATAAAGCAGTATAGAGGAAAATAAGTGTCAATGTATATAGTGCAGAGTAGGAGAAAAGAAATTAAGATTATGGTAGATTATTAAGGTTGTGACTTTGGTGGCAGGAAGTTGAGGAATTTACCTTGTGGGATTATCTATTTTCTCTATGAAATAAGAGATGATTAGTGGAGATGGTGAGTTTGGAGGAAAGGATTGGACAAGATTTGAAATAAACAGTGAGAAAAATATGAGAGAATGTTAATTAAGACAAAAGAGAAGGATCAATAGGCAATACTGAAATACGTTTGTGGCTGTTAGAAACACATTGAGAGTAGTATCAGCCTGCACAGGTGCATTATTTTCCCAGTAGCCTAGTTGAAAGGTATATAATAAAAATAAGTAATAAATGGGCTTAAACAAATGGAGTTACCAATTTATTTCTACATGGAAATGCTAAGAAAATAATGACATTTGCATTGAAGAAGAATTAAGTCTGTGTGACATTGTTAGACTAGCTGCAGATGTGAGCTCGCAATATTGCATGGCTACTTCCATGCTTCTCAGAATTCTCTGGGTCCCTAATTATTGTGCATTCATATTTTCAAAAAGAAAGTGACTTGATGTATTATGTGTCTATCTCAAGAAAATTTAAATAAATAGAAATAGAAGCAAAACATAAAAACCCAGAAAACTTGTATGAGGTCAATTTGCTTCCATATATGCTGAATACAAAATGCATTGAATTTTATTAGAACAAGATTGATATAAGCATCATTTTATGCCTTTGAATAAGGAGCTGTAATTTGGACTCAAAAGATAAGTATAATGATATGTAACTCAGTTCTTCTTCATTTATAATGACACTAGAGGCCAGATGCACAGATTCATGCACTGGTGGGGGTGTGGCCTGCGAGGACCGGCCTGCTGTAGGAGCGCTACTCTTCTGCTTTGAGAGTCTGCTCCTTGTGGTCAGTGCGCATCATAGTGACTGGTCAACTGGTTGTTCTGGTCGTTCCACTGCTCAGTCGCTGAGCTTTTATATATATAGATGGTTCTATATCCCACAGAGTTTAAGTTGTATTTTTATTTCCATTTAGCTCAAAATATTTTTTAAATTTTTCTTGAGACTTCATTGACCAACATGTTATTTAATAGTGAATTGCCCTGGCTGATGGGCCTCAGTTGGATGAGTACCATTCCATGCACCAAGAGGTTGCAGGTTCAATCTCCTGTTGAGACACATGCCCAGGTTGAGGGCTCGATCCCCAATAGGGTGCATGCAGGAGGCAACCAATGGAGGTTTCTCTCTCTCTTCCTCTCTCTTCTTCTCTCTCTAAAAATCAATTAATACATATTTTAAAATAGTTAATTGTTAAATTTCCAACATAAGACAGAAAATAAGGCTTTCACTTAATAGATGTAAAAAATACAGTGTAGAATGACTATCTTATCAAGCTTTCATCAAATGTATCCCATCGCATCTGCAGTATCTAAACATAGAAACTCTGGAGTAAAAAAAAAAGCCTGGTAACAATTTTTGGTTACCTTTCTACCTCCCCTACATTAGAGAAATTAGCACAGTTTCCTCATCTGTAAAATCAAGGTAATGATTGTTTTTATCTCATAGACTGTGAGAATTAAATGAAACAAATCATAAAGCTATTTTGATACCTCGGTCCTTTCATATAGAAAGTTAGTACATTTTTTAAAATAGTATATGTATATGTGGAGAAGTCCAATAACTATATTTCTTTAAAAATACTTCGATGATATTTCTTAGACTAATTTATATATTCAAACATATATGAAAGATCACATAAAATATTAAGGAAAGCTAACAATTTTTATGTTTTTAAAATGACATATTTAAATAACTAAACTCACAGTATCCACTTCTTCCAATCTTTCAGAGTATGCTATAGACTGCATGTCTGTGTCCTTCCCAAAACTCATAAATTGAAGTCTTAATCCCCAATGTGAAGGTATTTAGAAATGAGGCCTTTGGGAGATAAACAGGTTTAAATGAAGTCATGAGGATAGAGGCTTCATGAGGGGATCAGTTCCTTTATAAAAGGAAGAGACCAGAGTGC